GATTATTTTTAAGGTGGTTGGGGAATTAAATGAAACAATCCTTTCAAAATGTAATTTGCACTCACGACGTCTTTGACTAGCTTTCAAGCAATGAGGTCTTGGGAAGAATTCTCACCTGGAGCTACTTGAACTCAGTAACTGGCTGCTCAGAGGGTTAGATGGATGATAAAAATTTTGGGATATGTTCACTGCCACCTACTGGCAGAAAAAAGTTTGATCAGGACCATGGATGAAGAAACATCTCAGGGACTCTGCCTGTCTCCTCTGACCTGGGGTATATGGTCTGTGTTCGAATGGCCGATTCTGTTGCTCTCTCTAGTTAGAAGTCAAGCTAAGAAGAAAAATAATAGAGCAATGGTCAAGGTGCCGGGGTGAGACAAGTCTCCTGCATCTCCTTGATGTTGACAAAGCTCTTGTCCAGGATGTGGCCATGTGCTTGTAAGTAAAATCACAGTTAGAACCAAACCCTGGATTCCGGACCTTGAGAATATTATGCTAAGCAGAATAAGTTAGACAGAAAAAGTCAAGAACCATAAGGTTTCACTCATATGTACAATATGAGACTGAAACTCATAGACACAGACAACCTGGTGATTACTATGGGGGAGAGGTTGGAAGGATATAGTAAAGGGTAAGGGAAGCCAAAATAGGGTGATGGAAGATTATTTGACTGTTCATGGTGGGCACACAATGCAATACACAGATCATGTATCACAGAAATGTATACTTGAGACCTATTAACCAATGTTAACCCAATAAATTTAATTAAAAAAAAAGAGTCAAAATCAAGGACATTGAGAGATCCCTGAGAGAAAAATTATAAAATAAAAGGAAAATTTCTACAGATACAGGGCAAGCCTGTATGTGGGAAATGGGAGAGCTAAGAGAGCCATAGGAAGTAAAAGTGTTGGTAGAAGAAAGTATCCCAAAATCAGCACAGTGAGTGTTATGGAAGCTAAGGAAGGAGTTTAAAGAAGCAGATAATAGTTTCAAATATTGCACATGAAGCAAAGAAAGTAGAGCCTGAGAAAGCTGTTTGGAATTGGTGAATTGTACATCAGTGGGGGTGGTAAGGGTTAACACCACATTGTGAAGAGCCCGCGTAGAAAAGAAAAGCAAGCAAGCATCTTAATGGTAAAGAGAAGGAGAGAAAAATAGCTTAAGAAGCTAGTTGGTTTATGTTGGGAGATCCTAAGGAGGTTTTTGTATGCTCCAGCTTTCATACCGCATTATTTCTAACTAGAGGTCGGGTGCATGAATTTGTGCCTGGGTGGGGTCCCTCAGCCTGACCAGTGATAGGGGCCAATCTGGGCTGTCTCATTCAGTCCCAATTGGGGCCAATCGGGCTGGCTGGCCTGGGGGAGAGACTGCGGGAGGTTGGCCAGGCACAGGAGTTTGGCTGTGGGAACTCACTGACTACCAGGGGGCAGCTCCTGCATTGAGCATCTGCCCCCTGGTGGTCAGGGTATGTCATAGCAACTAGCTGTTCGGTAATCAGTTGTAATGGTTGCTTAGGCTTTTATATAGAGAGATGATGTTATTATGCCTCAGACTCTACTAATACAATTGAGGCATGCTCTAGTGTAAGGCAAAAGGGCACCTAAGGGCCAAGTCTTCTTTGTAGTTAATGGGGTCTCAAACAGAGAGAACCTTCCTTTAAAATGGCTTCCTCTTCTCTCCATCTCATTGCACAACTTGTCCAGGCCCTCAGGCCTGCAGCCTGCCTGACTGTGACAGCTTCCCTCCCATCTCTGCCAACATTAATTCAATTTGTTCTCAAAATTATTTACAAGCACAGATTTTGTTGGTTCATGGTCATATCTTTAATAAAGGGGAGGGAGGGAAGAAAAACTTTCAATAGCTCTCTAGTTTCTATTTAAGAATAAAATAGATTCTTCTCCTTGATTTTCAAGGCTCACATAATCTTACCTCTATAATTTCCAGTACATATATTTTTTTTTTTACTCTTGCCCTAACATATGTCATTGGTTCTAGTCAGGCTATTTCACCAAGCAAAGTACTTTCCAACCCTGTGTTCCCCTTTTCTCAACAATTATGCATCTCTAACCTGTCCTTCAAGGACTTATAAAATATGCTTATGTATTATTCTCACTTTTGTTCTAATATTTCCTCTCTCAAATTTTGCACAATAATTATTGTCAAGGGGGAAGAAAGAAAGAGCTAAATATATCCTAGTTTAGCTTAGGGTCTTTTCCAAACGTATCCCCTGATCACAAAATTCTGCTATGTGCCTACAACCATCTGTGAGTATCAGTACTACTGAGGCCGGAATGCATTCCCCTCATCCCACATAGCTATTCCACACAAGTTCATTCTTAGAATTTTTAAGTTTATTAGCTCCTTGGGGACAGAGACACTGACTGACCACACAATAGGTGCCGCTCACCAATGTCCAGTTCCCCTCCTTCTAGGTAACTGGTAGAATTCGATTTCTCCGGCTTACTTTGATGCTAGACCATGGGACTTATTTTGGCAAATGGATTGTGAGTGGAATAGAAATTCACCTGCAAGTGTGTTTTAGGATAGGGCCTCCATTGTCTTGGGTCCTTGAGTAATTACCATGAGACTCCCTGTTACTCTGTGCAGAACATGTAACGTGATGGAAAAATCAACTTTTATTATCATGTGAAGTCGCTGAGACTTTGGCTCTGTTTGTTTCTACAGGATGATGTTGTTCCTCAAAGCGGGATCCTTGGACCAACAGCGTCTGGGGGCTTATTAAATACACAAACTCTCAGTTCCTGCTCCATAGCCACCAAATGTGAATCTGCACTTAAACATGCTCTCCCCGAGTTTCATATAGCTATTAAAGTTTGAGAAGCACTGTCCTTGAGTATTCTGACAAGCACAGAAATTGTTATGGAAAAGTGGCTGGATCAGAATCTAAAATGGATAAATACAAAGAGAGCAGGGACAGATGGCAATGCATGTGATGTTGCGGGAAAAAGAGTTTGACTGATGGATATCATACACAAGCATATGGGGGAAGGTCTGAAAACAGGGTATCAGGAGTGTGTATTGGCTACTATTGGCTGCATTTAATGGAATACTACAAGGGAGTGGTGAGCTATAGACATAATTAACTGAATGCAAGCAGGAATAAAAGGGATTCCAGATGGTAGAACAATATGAATGCACTTAATACCACTGAACTGTAAACGAAAAAATTGTTAATATGGTAAATTTATGGTACTGTATATGTATTTTATAATAAATAAGTAATAGGATTATTGATACATTTGAAACCAGATTTAAAATTAAACTTTTTTTTTTTCCTCAAGAAAATCCAGAGTCAGGGACTCTAGCATGGGAAGAGATAGCTCTTCTCAACCCAATAAGTAAAAAATTAAATTTAAAACGTTGAATAACATAGGCCAAATTAAAACTCAGATTTGGCACTAGGATCAACACAAGGGGTCAGGTTTCACCATCACTGCAGATCCTCTTAGCAGATTACAGAAGCTGTCTCAAAAATTAATGCCAAGAGGGATGTAGCAAAAGGATCCAGCGAGTCCTTTCAATTGGACAAAAGGTCTCAGAGAAATAAAACGAAAAGCAAGACTCTCCCTCACAACCTGACAGACTCACAGCACACAGGGTCAGGACGAGGGGAAGGAAAAGCTGCCGGGACAAAGAGGGCCAGTATGCAGAGCCTGGGAGTCAGTGCTGATCTGCACGGCCTGGTGAGGTAGCACCAGCCACGGTTGCTGTTGACCCTGAAAATGTAACGCCCTGCAGGCTCCTCTTATTCCTTCGCTGAATGGGAGTGGCTGTGTGGTCCCCTGTCCTGCCATCATTTATCAGATAACTTGTCCTTTTAGTTTATTGGTCTCCAGCTCAAGAGGAGCCACCTCTGCACCTGAGATAGAGACAATCTGGGGGATTTTTCAGTTACACCTTCACCACAAAACTCTACTATGCTCCCTGAACCCATAGGTGAAAACTGCCATTACACAGAGCTATCGCAGTCCTTATTTTACAGCAGGTATTGTCTGCACTTCATCAACTCCCATTTATGCGTAGCACCTTGAACTGTTGCCAGTGTATTCATGCATCTTAACATATTCATGTCTTAAATAATTTGTCCCATAAGCTCTTTGATGGCAGAAAGTAAATAATGGCCTCTGCTTCTAGCCCCCAACTAAGTACATGGTTAGTGACATCCTCACAACACTTATTTACCAAGAGACAGACTGTAAGACAATGTATAATGTCAAGTGTACAGTATTATTTGATTTTCAGGAGTCAAATCATCTTAAAATGAGAAATGGCCATCATCCAGGCAATAGATACTGTAGGGGGAACTTCAGGCTAACTTCTCCTTTTGCTGCAGCTGCTGACAAATGGGCAGAAACACCCAAAACACTCGGAACAGCACACATTTCATTAACCATCACTTTGAACACATGTTGTTATATCAAATGAAGTTCCTACAGAAGCAGGAACCATGTAGTGTTTGACAGCTATATACATGGATGTTTTGTTTAGGGAACTTTGTGTTGGAGTCCCAGGGCCGGGCTAATTTGCAGATATTTACTGAATCACTATGTTACATGTATTCCTTCCCACTGGACACACATCTGCAGTTCTCAAGACCATCCTGTTAGGTCAGCCCAGATGTGGAACCTGAAATGAGATGATTTAGGCAACATCACCTGTCAAAGACAGAGTCAGGACCTGAACTCAGATTTTCAAACTCAGTTCCACACTGGAGAAGACGGGACTCCCTGGGTTAGAGATGGGCACTGACCTTTGGCTGCTGGAGTCAGATTGTGATGTGCAAATTATACAGTGAGTGACAGGGTTTCAAATTCAGAGACAGGCCCAGTCTGAGAAAGTATGAAATGGCTTGGCTACAGGCATGTGTTACAAGGGGGCGGGGAGTATGTGAGGGAGGCATGGGACACTTGGAGCCCATAACATGTCCCCAAGACATTCATTTGGAAACCCTGGACTGAGACAGAATAAGACAGTAAGGAGAGTCGCAGAAACTTTCACACCACATGATGTAAGGTTTTGTAGCATAAAGTTTTATATCTGGGTAAAGCAAAAACATGATTGACAGAAGGAGAATTAAGGAAATTCCATCCTTGGACAATTGTGAACACAAGCCATACAGCCAAAAGTTCAAGAAAGAAGAGCTATAGAGAAATCCCATAACAAATAAACAGGAAATTTCAAATGGAAAGAATTTGTCCACTCTATTTTACCCTGAAAAGCATGGATAAGTCCTAGGGATATCAAAGAAGTTACAAAACCGTTTCTGGGGAGAGAAAGCAATCAACAAGATGTAAATATTCACAGGTTTTCTTCCATTATGGTCAGCTCTTCATCCTGTGTAGACCCTGAGCACACACTAGATGGAAGATGGATGGGGCCCCCAGAAATGGGCGGGAGAAGGAGAAAACGTAGTAGGAAAACGGGTCAATAATAAATGGTCACAGACCATTTCCAAACGGGTAAGTTGCATGCGCACATCTGCCCAACCACCACCACAGGAAAGATAGGGGTGGGGGGAAGAATGCATCTTTGAGTACCAATTCAAGAGCGAGAGAAAGGACAAATGGGATGCACAGTTTTGATTTTTTGAGTTTCCCGGATTCCCCCTCACTGACTTCATTACAACGTAAAGGAAGGGGACAAGAACGCTGCGGAGGGTGCTTCTAATAGCCGCTGGGGAAGATACAGGGCGTCCTGAAGCCGTGGCAACAGATAATCTCCTTGAAGGTCTTCCGCATCTCCTGGCTGCGGAAGGCGTAGATCAGGGGGTCGATCACAGAGTTGCACATGATGAGGATGAGGTACATGTTGAAGTGGGACATGAAGCAGGAGCAGTAGAGATTCTGAGGGCAGGAGATCATCAGGATGAGGTGGAGGAAGAACGGGGCCCAGCACACGATGAAAATGCCCAGCAGCATGGTCAGGGTGACAGCGCCCTTCATGCTGGTCCTCTGCCGCACGGAGCCGCAGCCCGGCAGCGCCGCTATCTGCTTGACGTGCGTCCGCGCCAGCAGGAACATGTGTATGTACAGGGACACCATGAGGAACAGCATGGTGAAGAACATGGAGATGAGGCAGATGATGACGTACGTGGACTCGTAGTAGATGATGAACACGATGCCGCAGCCGGTGCAGAAGACCCAGATGCTCGCGATGATGGCCCCGCAGCGCCTCACGGTCATGATGTGGTGGTAGCGCAGGGCGTAGAAGATGGTGACATAGCGGTCCACCGCGATGGCCAGCAGGCTGCACATGGAGGCCACCACGGAGATGCAGATCATGGAGTCGAACACGTTGTCGATGTGGCGCACGAAGGCGTCGGCGATCACCAGGTGCTTGTTGTTGATCAGGTAGATGGTGATGGTCTCCCAGGTGTTGGACATGCTCACCATCATGTCGGCCACGGCCAAGCTGCACACGAAGAAGTACATGGGGGAGTGCAGGTTCTTGTTCTTTATGATGGCGCCGATGACCAGGATGTTCTCCAGGAGGCTGATGAGGCCCAGCGTCAGGAACACCTCCACGGCAATGCCCATGTCCTCACAAGGCGAAGACCTGTTCTTGGCATGTGGTCCCGAGAGGTTGCCCTCCGTGGCGTTCAGGCCGAGATCTAAGAAATACAGGCGAAATGAGGAATTCATTGCTCCTCTTCTCGGCACCCAATGTACTGCAAAACAGGTTGTCACGCGTGATTCAGAGAGGTTAACAGTGTGCCAGAGAAACACAGCAGCATTCCGAAAGCAAGCCAAACCTGAGAATGGGAGTGAATGGACTCGGAGCAGTCGCTGAGTGTTAGGATTCTACGTGTTAGAACAGAACACATCCTGCCGTGTACCCGGACTCCCGGAAGAGTGTCCTTCCGACACGCAGGCTTAGAACAGTCACCAGCCTTCCGGTCCTCCTCCTTTTAGGCTCCCGTTCTGTCACAGACCTCTGGACAGAGCGACCACACATCCCCGGGTGCCTGAGACAGTTTCACTCTGTATGCTTGCTGTCCAGGCACCCAAGTTCACTTTCAAAAGTGTTCCCAACACACAGCCTATAAAACCCCTTCCAGCCTCCGGATTTGCACATTCCTAAGGCTCTAGCCCACTGCCTTTCCTCCAGTGACCTTAGATTTCTGAAGGCTATGTAGGCCCATATTCTCTAAAGAGAAGCAGATGGATGCCTTCTTTTTTAAACAATCTAATGTGTAAAACAAACATACCCGCCATGCTTTGTTGACATTATTATAGTAACATTTTTACAATTATTAGAGTAGAAACATTGTGCTTATACAAATATTAATACTTGTATTATTCATGTCCAAGATGGCAGGACAATCCTTTTACAATTTTCAATTAAATATTATCTTAATATTTAATATTAGTTTACATTAAGTATTATTTTGTACTAGTTTCAGATATTCAGTGGTTAGACAAATCATACACTTTACAAAGTAGGCCCTCCGATAGTTCAACTAAGATTTGTCCTGACACTTCTAAAATCCGCTAGGAGTCAGTCTCCACAGTGACAATTAAGACTGTCACCAAGGTGATTCATTAATTTTATATAAGAGCAAATAACAAGTTACTGCCTCCCATTCATACATTTAGTTGCACATGCCTGTTGAATTTGAGACACACGGAATGATGTTTTCCCCTCAACAAACATTTTCCCCGATTCTGCATTTGAATTCCAACAACGTCTGATTAATAAATACTTTTACAAGTTCCACAGACAAATAGCACAGGGAAACAAGGGATTTTGAATTTACCAAGAACTAGAGCAAGATCACTCCTTGGTTGCCCAATTTCTCTCCCATGATTTATATTCTTAAAAAATCCCTTTGCCCTCCAAACTCAGCACATCTGGGAGTTGGAATTTCTGTCATCCTTTTCCACCCTCCTTCATAACCTCTTACTGAAATGGAAGCATTTGTCGTTTCGCCTAGTTCTGTCTCAGGGATCGGGAGCGCCCAATTATACTATCACATTCACCATCACACCAAGCTGTTTAAATACCCAACTGGTTCTCTTCCCCCGTGACAGCGTGACAGCGAGGCACGCTTTTGCATTCCTTCCAAGGCTAAGAATGAAGTACAAAGAAAGTGGGGCTATTTACCAGCTCTACCCCGCTCCGCTCCTCTTGCACAGCAGCCCGGGGGCCCTTCTTGCGGGACGCCGGCATCCACAGGCTGGGGCCTCCGCCTGGAGCCGAACTGCCATCACCCCGACGGGACTCCTCCAGCAGCGCATAGGCGCCCTGCGCCGGGTGGCGGCTCCCCGGCCTTTGTACAGCCTCGCAGCCCCGCCTCCGTGCGGCTCCCTGGGGACCCCTCGCTCTGCTTTGGTCCCAGGCGCAGGCCTGAGGCTCCACCTAGCGGTCAGAGCCCTGGAGCGCGACCCTCCCTTTAACAGGTGGGTGCCGCTCTGGCTGCTGGCCTGCGCAGCTCTGGGTGACACCTGCACAGAACAACCTCTGTTCTTCTGTTCCTGGAGAATCCTTCCCCGAAAGTGCATCCAAATGTGTTTCCTAAATGGCTATTCATTTTAACTTCGCTTCTTTTCTCTTCCTCGTATGCATTGATTAACATGCTGCTAGGTCATTCACAGCTCAGATTCTCCTGTCCCTCTACCAGTCTTTCTCTCCAAAGGGTCCCCAATGACTATCTGGGGAATCCGAGTCTGGGACCCTCAGTTTTGAGGCTGATACACACTCCCTGGTTGGCATCAAGACCTGAACTCCTCCACAAGGACTGTGTTCGCCGTGCCAGGTCTGCTACCACTGCCAACGAGCTTTTGTTAGTCAAGCAAAAAGAGAAAAGAGACTTTCCTCTAGCCAGCTCTCCTGGATCTTAATTTCTGGATCTTCCATTTCTCTGGTACCTAATACAAATAAAACAATTTTAAACAGACAAAAAAGAGACTAAGAAGGTACTAAATAATGATAAAAATGTCAATGCAAGAAGAGGATATAATATCCGTAAATAGGTATGCACCCAACACAGGAGAACCTAAATATATAAAGCAGGTATTTACAGGGAGAAAGTAACAGTTATAAAATAATAGTAGGGATCCTTAATGCCCCATTACATCATTCAGACAGAAAAATCAATAAGGAAATATTAGCCAAAATGACATACTACATCAGATGAACTTTATAAATATGTACACAATTCATCCAAAAATTGCAATTCTTTTCAAGTGCACATTAAACATTCTCCAGAATAGGTCATATGTTAGAACACAAAACAAGTCTCAATGAATTCACTTTTCATACCAAACACTTTTCTAACCACAACAGAATGAAACTAGAAATCAATTACAAGAAGAAAAATGGAAAAACAACACATTAACACATGGAAACTAAACATCATGTTACTGAAAAATCAATGTGTCAATGAAAAAGTCAAAGAGGAAATAAAAACTACCTTGAGACAAATGAAAATGGGAACACAACTTTTCAAAATTTACAGAATGCAGCAAAAGCAGTTCTAAGAGGAAAGTTTATAGAGATACAGGCCTACCTCAAGAAACAAACAAAAAATACACAAATAAACAATTTAACTTTATATTGAGGGAAAAAGAATTAGCAAAATCCAAAGTAAACAGATGGGAGGATATAATTAAGGTCAGCACAGAAATAAATGCAACAGACTAAAAAAATAGAAAATATTAATAAAACTAGAGCTGATTCTTTCAAAAGATAAGTAAAATTGACAAGCCTCTAACAAGACTTGTCAAGAAAAAATGAGACCACAATTAAATAGAATCAGAAATAAAAGAAAAGAGATTACAGCTGACATGACAGAATTACAAAAGATCATTAAAGAATACTCTGGCCCAACTGGCATGGTTCAGTGGTTGAGCATCGAACTAAGTACCAGGAGGTCACCGTTTGATTCCAGGTCAAGGCATATGCCCTAGTTGTGTGCTCATTCTACAGTACAGGGCATGCAGGAGGCAGACATCAATGATTCTTTCTCATCATTGACATTGATATCTCTCTCTCTCTGAAATCAATAACAATTTATATATTTTTAAAAGAATACTCTAAATAATCATATACCAACAAATGTCAAACTAGAATAAATAAATTTATAAAAACACAATCTTCCAATACTGAAACAGAGACCTTGTGCAGACCAATTACTAGCAATGAAATTAAAGCAGTAATCAAAACCCTTCAAACAAACAACCTCCACAACCAGAAGAAAAACATTTAAAGAAGAATTAATATCTCTCCTTCTCAAAAAAATTTCAAAACATTTGAAGAGAAAGGCACGCTTTCAAACTCATTCTACAATATAAGGCTGGCATTATTCTGATACCAGAACACCAAACAAAGACACTACGATAAAAATCCTCAGCAAATATTAGCAAAGTGAATTTAACAACATATTAAGAGAATTATACACCATGATTTATTACAGGGGTGCAAGAATGGTTCAAATATCTGCAAATCAATCAACCTGTTACACCACTTTAACAAAAGTAGCTGAAGCTGGTTTGGCTCAGTGGTAGAGCATCAGTCTGTGGACTGAAAGGTCCCCGATTCGATTTCCAGTCAAAGGCATGTACCTTGGTTGCGGGCGCGTCCCCAGTAGGGGGTGTGCAAGAGGCAGCTGGTCGATGTTTCTCTCTCATCAACGTTTCTAGCTCTCTATCTCTCTCCCCTCCTCTCTGTAAAAAATCAATAATATATATATATATTTTAAAATCCAAAAGTAAAAGTCATATCTCAATAGAAGCAGACAAAACATTTGACAAAATTCAGCATATATTTATGATAAACATTCAATAAAGTAGGTATAGAAGGGACATACCTCAACATAAGAAAGGCCATCCATGACAAATGCACAGCTAACAACATGTTCAATGATGAAAAGCTGAAAGCTATTCTTCCAATCTGAGGAAGAAAACCAGGATACTCGCACTCACCACTTTTATTCAACATAGTATTAGAAGTCCTAGCCGCAGCGACCGGATAAGGAAATAATAAAATAAAAGGCATCCAAATAACAAGTGTTGATGAAGCAAACCCTTGTGCACAATTTGTTGCATTGTAAATAGCTGTAGCCACTGTGGAATTTCATTTAAAAAAAAGTAAGGATAAAACCACCATACAACCCAGCAATTCCAATTCTGGGTATTTTGAAGAAAATAAAAAAAAATATTAACTCAAAAAGATACATACACTCAAATGCTGAGTGCAACATTTAAAAAATATATTAACTCAAAAAGATACATACACTCAAATGCTGAGTGCAACATTTACAATAGCCAAGATATGGAGGCAAACTAGATGTCCATTGATAAATGAATGGATAAAGATGTTAAATAATGGAACATTAGTCAGCCATTAAAAAGTATGAAATCTTGCCACTTGCAGCAACATGGATAGACCTGGAGGGCATTTGCTCAGTGAAGACGTCAGACAGCTGAAGACAAATACCATATGATTTTACTTATATGTGGAAACTAAAACAATAACAACAAATGAACAGAAACAGTCTCATAGAGAACGAATTGATGGTTGTCAAAGGAGAGGGAAAAGAGGAAATAGTAGAAATAGTAAAGAAGAATAAGAGGTAAAAATTCTAGTTATGCAATTCAGAAGTCACAAGGATATAATGAATAGCATGCGGGATATAGTCAATAATATTATAATAGGTTTATATAGTAACAAATTGTTACTGAACTTATTGTGATGATCACATCAGAAGTATATGATGTCAAATTGTACACCTGAAACTAATATAATATTGTAAGTAAATATAATTTGAAATGTCAATAAATAAGGTGGCTGTACATTTTTGCAATCCCACCAGCAATAAATGAGAGTTGCTCTTGCTCAACATTCTCATCAGAGTTTGGTGTTGTATTTTGGATTTTAGCCCTTCTAGTAGGTATCTTATTGTTTGAATTTGTAATCCCTTGATGACACATAATGTTGAGCAATTTTTATGTACTTATTTACTATCCATATATCTTCTTTGAGATGTCTATTTAGATCTTTTGCCCATTTTGCAGTTAAGACATTGTTTTATTGTAGCATTTTATCGGATTGCTCAGTTGGTTGTAGTGTTGTCCCATACACCAAAAGATTTTGGGTTTGATTTCCAGTTGGGTGCATACAGGAGACAACCAATCAATGTTTCTCTCTCACATTGATTGTGTTACTCTGAATAACCTACCTTTAAATGGGATGCTATGTGTTCCTAAGAAGTGGCAGCAGCAAGTTCCATGGATAAATAGGTTTGAATCCACGTGGACTTAAAATGTCATGCCCTTCTCCAATTAATGTCGAGTTCATAAAATGACCTTGGCATAGAGTAGTTAAATAATGTAGCATCTTAACATGAATTTCTGTTTTCAAAAGACAGAAAACAAGAGGAGGCTGTTTTTGGAGAAAAGAGTACTATTTAAAACTATTTCTTCATATTAAAACCTCTTCATCTCGGGAATAGTTTCAGAGCAGTTGTTTCATGACCGACTAAAAACATGTAGGCATCTATGAGTTAAACCTTATTCAATATTTGCCCTTCTTCATGCAAGGGCTCCTGCCTGCCACAGAGTTGGGTGATGGCTTTCATGAGGGGCATAGAGATGAGGAAGCTCTGTTTCCTCTTCAAGGAGGTTATAGTCAAGTTAGGAAGGAAGAGATATGCCCAGAATAGTGATTATATAACCCTGATGTAATTAAAGGAAAGTACTAACATCTACAGGAACTGAGAAAGAAAACTGGCATGTGTCTAACCTACTATCAAAATCCCAGCAGGACATGAAGTTCTCAAATGGTCAACTAAAGAGACATATGGGAAGAGGGGAGGGGGGAACTATTTACAGATGGAGAGCTGTCAGAGCCAGCAACTGCAGGAGCCATGACCCTCCTAGCCCTACAGGGGCAGGAGGAAGTGGAATCCAGCTCAGGAATTGATTGGGGTGGGAAATGTGGAGAACCACCCAACCCAGCACAGCAGGACCTGTAAGGGGGCATTTCCACCGTCAAACTGTTCTGTACCTGAAGCTACACTGTGTTCTAGTAAAAAGCCTGCTCAGATTGGCCAGAGTCAGAGAGGCGGTCTATTAAAAAAAGAACTGGTGTTGCCTCTGAAATGGGGGGTAGACTTATACAGCGAATATAGGCCTAAATCTATGTTTTAACTGTAAAATTAGGGGGTCGTCTTATATGCCAGAAAATACGGTATATCAAATTTTAGTTTTCTGGTTTTACTGGAATGTGAATTCACATTTACAAATACTAAGTGTAAGAACCTAACGTGAGGCCTAAATCATACTGAGTACTGTCTTACTACAGTTAATTGTAACCAGATTCTAGGAAAAATAAATGATACTTGGAAAAAAAAAAAAAAAAACTAGGCAAATGCATCATAAGAAAAAACATAGAACAACATTTCTTGTTAATATAGACACAAAAATCCTCAACAAAAAGCAAGCCACCAAATCAACAACCTATTAAAAGTATTATGCATTATGTCCAAGTATGACTTATCCCAGAAACACAATAGTGGTTTAAAATGTTGAAGTCGATATATTGTTTGAGAGGGAACCAAGATGGCAGCTGCCTCCCACAACCACATCAAAATACAGAACAACCATCATCCAGAACCTCTGGAAAGCTCGCTGAATGGAAGTCCTACAACTAGAGAAGAAAGTGCACTGAGACTGGGAGGAGGGGCGGAGGTGTGGAACAGGCTGGTCTGGCACCCACGTGGGCTGCTTTTTTAATCGGGAGGGAGGTCATCTATGTGGAGGCTGCCAGTAAGGAGCAAGGGGTCCCAGACCAACACCAGAAGCCAAGCTCAGCCCAAGGTCCCTGAGCTGGAAAAAGAAGTCCCTACGGCAGAAGAACCATGGGCTGTAAAAACCAGTGCGAATTAAGGCTCAGTGACACAGAGGCTGCTGGAGACCCAGCTGTTCCTCTTAAAAGGCCGGCACCACAAACTGAACTTACAAGGTCTTGCTTCCTCTGAGCTTCAGCACCAGAGCAAGGCTCTGGGGGACACGTTTGTCTGGCATTGGGGCAGCTTTCTCCCAGATGGAGGTGCTCGCAGGGATCATTGTTCCTAGTCTAGGACCTCCCCAGTCAC